AGCTGGCTGTCAAACAGTGCTGAGAGTTTTAAAAGTTACCCAGATAATGAGTAAAAAATGTTCTGCTTTGGCAAAAAACAAATCAATCTTCTGTAAATGTCAGCTCATGTTTGGGTGATGTAATATATGCAGCCCTCAAAAGGGATTACAAATTACTATTACAAACCAACCAGGACAATACTTTATTAAACTACTTTCCCAGAGTTTAATCATAAATTAACTGCAATAAGCCACTTTTTTTGGCTTAGTTTTTAATTATTATACTTGTAAAAGTGAGAAGCATTTGGAAAAAAATTGAAAACATAAAATAGCCTAAAAGATTTTAAAAAATCTTTAGAGTGTCTAGTATTTGGATGTAATAAGCTGGGATGGCTGTTTATGTTCTTGTGTAAAATACAGATATTTCAGTAAAATTACTAAAAAATAAGTAGCTCTGGTTAGATTAAAACTGTTTGGCTATAAGAAAACCTCTGACCAAAACTCCAATAAAAACCCTTGCATGCTGCAGAGTTTGAACAGCACTCCTCTTCTCACATATGTATGAAATTTGCTAATTGATTGCTATTTAGAGTTGAGTGAAATGTAGAGTGTTCAATATCACTATTAGCACCACCCTTTCTAATTTAACCTCGCTGTTCATGTCCCCTGCTTTAATATAAAACATAATGTACCACTTAAATTTGCCACTGAAGTGAAAGCTGTATATTTTAGATTGTGTTATGTGATAATTGTAGAGCCCAGGTGATTTACACTTGATCACTGGCAGTAAAATCCATCCTAAATGCTTGATCCACCACAGTCTAGTATCGACCCGTTATGATAACCTGAGGCTTTGAATTAAGACGCCTTCTGAATCCAGAGGGATTTATGAAAAATGTAAGGCTGTCATACAAAGATTTTTAATGTTTAGGCTCTGCAGAAACTATTGAACAGATTAGGCCTTGGGGGTTTATTGAATGTTGTTGACATTAAAAAGACACAGCTCCATTATTGTAGTGATGTTAAGCTACCTTAGAATATTTTATTGTTCATAAATCAATCAGTCTGACAAACTACAACTATATAAAGATTTTAATTTTATCTTCACTCGAAGCAATGCCTACTACATGAAAAAACGCAGGATTCATTTTTAATTTATTTAGAATCAGTAAAAAACAATAACACTTTAATTGAAGATTATGACAAGAACCACTGAGAGCTAATCACTAATAGAATCAGGACTTAAAAATCAACTTGCATCAATTAATGAAAATCAGAGAAAAATCAAAGAAAATTGAAAGAAATAATAAAGGCCACCAAAAACTTTTACCACAGACCTTTGCCTCTCTTTGAGAAAAACCGAGTAACACTTTTGCCTTTTTCTCTCTCTTAAGATTGATTATGAATCGATAAGGTTTACTGATTTTATTTCATGAAACAGATAGAAATAAACAAATGTAGCCTTTTTACTGCCAAGAGAAAAGAAATGGACATTGCAGCCTCGCAATGTCCTATGCCTCACATATTTGAATATCCACCTGCAGGAATAAGACATTGTTTTGACTTGACCCATTGATCTACAAGGACATTTTTAATTGACCTGCAGAAAAGCAGTTGTTGTTGATGAAATGTGTCTGTCATTAAAAGACACATAAAATCATGTTCTTCTAACATCTATTAATTTCCCTATTTCAAATTCCCCCGCCTCAGATTGCAGAAACCTTTACCACAGACCTTTGCTAAAAACTGTCAAATCGTAATTAATGGTTATGAATGACACCGTCTAAATAACTCTCCTCCTTCTTGAAGCTCTAGTGTGTAATTATGTGTGCAGCCACTGAGGCATAGCGTCATTTTCCATGTTGAGTCGATAATACTTTATTTAATGTTAATGAATAAATATTCTCCCAGGGCTCCGACTGAATCGGATTAGCACACATATAATTTTCTGCGTTATCAAGTTCCACTGGATGAAATAACTCATCTCAACTCGTTCGCTGAGGTCAGCTCCTCCATTTCCCTCCCACTGGCTTCAGTTGTAGCCTTTATTTAAGAGCTTTATTGTATAAATAAATAAGTCTTTGTGAACAAATAAGCTTGTGTTTGCTTAGTTGGGGCTTTGCTTTCTATTATTGGATGTTATCCCCTAATGTGTCTTGACACAGTGGTCTGGAGTAATGGTCTGAAATGCTACACCGAATCAATGCCTGGTGCCTTTTCCTCTCTTAGGTAATTTACTTGGTAATGAGAGACGGTGCGGAAGGCTGTCTCTGCAAGCTCGAAGAAGAGGTAATCTGTTTTCCCACTGATTCAAGCAGGTTAAAGAGTCTTGCACTGCTAATTAATTAACTACAAAACACTGAAGTAGGATTTCACTGAAGGGCTCAATTTGGGTGACCAGAACCCTTCGCCCTTCTGCACCCTGGAGTTTTCCCGATGTCTGCTGGTGAACTTTGTCACTGTCATAAAAGCAGGCATTTCAGCATCTGTAACGTACAAAAGTCGTCTCTTGTTTGGTTTTTGTACACGTGAGCGAGCCGTGTTCCTTTTTGTCTATAAAACAATCTGTATCAATCAAAATTGATCTAAATGAGCTGGCATGTCAACAGAAGACGTGCTTCGGAGTGGTTTTCACGGCCAGAGATAAGGTCAAAAAAGCCATTTTGGCCATCATAAAAGAAGTATTGTCATGCTATTGATGTCATTTATTACCTGACAAGGATGGTTGGAGGAAAAAAGGAGGAAAACGATCTGGCCTAATGCTCTGAGGAGACTGAAACGGTTGATGGAAAAATCTATTAACCTTGCCCCGAAAGTGAACTTGCTGATATTTGAGCACGATTTTATTTGTTGACAAAAATAACATCTGTTACTTTGTTGATATGTGACATAACATAGTATAAATCCCTGTGTATCTGGTTGTTTGTTCTTAATGTGTCCTGACATTGAGCCTGGATCAGAAACCACCAATCACGTAATTCTAATAGTTAATGGGAGATATGTGCTTTGATGGTCAGTCATAAACATAAAATATAAAATATGGAGCTAAAGCTTAGAAGATAGCATGTGGAGCCTAATGAATGACTTGAAAGAGAAAACACAGTTTATGCTTGTTGGCAATTCAGATAAAGATGCTTAAAAAAAATGTTGAAATAAAATCAATTCAAATAATAAAAACAATTGATTAATATTTTATTGCGGTAGCATGATTACACACTATAAAAATATAACTAAATGACTCCTGTAACATATCTTTAAATGTTTATAATTATTCCTTCATTTTAAAGTTGATCACAGTGTGTTTGAGCTTTTAATTAGCATCCTATAACTTCTGGACCTTCATCATACAAAATGGGAAAGACAAGATAACTTGTTCAAATGATGCAGATGTGTGTCCAACTGCATAAAATCACTGCTTGCCTGAAAACTCTGATAGTGGCAGTCATGAGAAAAAATACAAAGTTTTACCTTGCCACCAGGAACAGTGAGAAGAAGTGGGTCCAGTAAATAAGAAAGATATTGTTGGCAAAATGTTATAGGAGAAGATCCTGTTCTTTTGGTACTGCAGACATACAAAGTATTAAAATAATACAGCTATCAATCAATGTGGCATCACACATATGTTTTTTTTATGAACCATTAATCTCAGAATGATCCTTTTTCTAAGCCAAATTAATGTATTTGAAATAAGAATTTGACTTTTTCTAACATTTTCAGTGTAAAGTTTTACTACTGCAGTAAGAAATTGATTCATTTAAAGGCTTTTTACACATCTTTATCAGGAGAGCCAATATGTGTGGAAGGGACAGTTCATTAATGTAATTTATTATTAATATACGCTATGCTATGAAACTGTGACTCCCACAAATGGATCCAAAGTGGGTTTTGGATCTTGAAAGGTTTATGATTTCTGCACCATTATTCTTTTTTTTTAATAGCCATTCCTATTTTTTTAATGTTTAGTACATTCAGTTGAAATAAGCTCAGCTGATTTATTTCAGTCAAGAAAATATATATAGTGGTTTGTTTTATAATTGTGGCAATTGAATGGCTGAGATAATATATGGTATTTGATATTGTCCATCCCCGTTTTTCATTAGCATGGCATCAAACCTTACAGAGTAATCATTCCTGGCCACGCAGCAAAGACAGAGAGATCTAAAAGACGCTTTAACGCTCGAGTAAAACTGAGACAGCTGCTCAGAAGGCACTGAGAAGTGAAATAACTGCTGCTGAGATAAAACACATTCACAAATTAAATTCTTAGCTCATCTATTTATATGCACTATATTGCACAACAAAGATAATGTACATTTTCAGGAAAATCATCAGTTTTCTTTGAAAAGACACTGAAATTTCTGTTTGGACTCCATCATATGTGGGGTTTCCCAAGGCTCTCTTTTGATTCCCTTATTTTTTTGCCATGACCTTGGACAAATTATTAGAAAGATCCATTATATCACCTTTATACAGATGACATTCAAAAAATTTTAGTTTGTCAAGCTATCTTAACCATTTAAGTGCTGAAATGAAACACAAACTAGTTGAATTAATTCCTTCTGCCAAACTTTGAGACGATCTGGTGTCTGATCATTCGCCAATGGGCAGCAGATTGGTTCAACTCTGACAACAAGGCAGACAATAGGAATTTAGTTGCTGTTTTCAACAAATCGATGTCTCAAAATTAATATGACTGAAACTGATGTATATCTCAAAAAGATATATATTTTTTAATTTGTATTTAACTAAGAAGGTCAGTGTCATAACATAAACTTGTTTTTTTATGCTTTTATTTCTTCTTGTGTAGTCTATTGGAAATAACATTGGATTCATAGTTAGGTAAATATCACATTCAAGACTTAAATAGATTTTTTCCTACATTGAAATGCAGCATTCTCAACACAATCCTCTTGCTCAAATCTGGACACCCCTCTTGATTTAATCTGTTCCCAAATCTAAAGAAAAGAAGTGTTCTGCCTCAGTTTTGAAACTAACTGCATGATATCTTTATGTCTCTGCAGGGTTTGGGATGACGACGCCCGTGACAATTGCAGGGAAGGTGTTCCTTATATTTTACGGACTTCTGGGCTGTGCTGCCACTATCCTCTTCTTTAACCTTTTCCTGGAGCGCATCATCACTCTGCTGGCTGTAGTGATGAAGGCTGTGAGGGAGAGGAGAATCAGGAACAGCGGTCTCCTTCCGCCGGGGATCCGACATGACTTCTCGGCCTACTCTCTCCCGGGATGGAAGCCCTCTGTCTATCACGTGATGCTGATTCTGGGATTGTCGGCCATTACCATTTCCTGCTGCGCGTCGGCCATGTACAGCCCAGTGGAGGGCTGGGCCTACTTAGACTCGCTCTACTTCTGCTTCGTCACCTTCAGCACCATTGGCTTCGGAGACTTCGTCAGCAGCCAGGACGCCTCTTACGGATACCAAAGCCTCTACAGGGTGGCCAACTTCTTCTTCATGTTAATGGGTGTCTGCTGCATCTACTCGCTCTTCAACGTCATTTCCATCGTCATCAAGCAGGTGCTCAACTGGATGCTGGAGAAAATGAGCTGTTTGTTTTGCCAACGTTGTAATAAGGCCAACGCCTTCCTGGGGAGGCGAAATGCCATCCGCCCGGGCTCCAGGGGTCGTAAGGGTCGCTTCAACCATCAGCCAGAATCAGACGGGCCTTGCGATAGCGACACTGAGGGACGGAGACTATCAGGGGAAATGATCTCCATGAAGGACCTGGCGGCATCGAACAAGGTGTCACTGGCGATCATGCAGAAGCAGCTGTCTGAATCTGCCAACGGATACCCCAGGACGGTCTGCGGCAGCTCCCGCCATAACGGCTTCTCTGGGGGAGTCGGGGCTCTGGGCATCATGAACAACAGACTGGCAGAGACAAGTAACTCCAGGTAGAAACCACAGAGAGGCTGAAAACAAAGCATTCACGCTCCTCTCAAGCCTCACTATAGAACTTTGACATGCTAATGAAAGGATAACTTGTTATGCATGAGCTATATCGTTTTTACTCCTGACTTGGATTACAAACTCGCGGTGAGGTTGGCGGCATGAAGAGAGAATCACAAAGCTGATCTTAAAGCATGGTGACCATATTCTAGACCGAAAGCCCTGAAATAAAACAAGTCACTAAAGAGCTTGGCTGGAATCCCTTGGTGCAGTTGGTCAGCTCATCAGACTTTTTATGGCTGAATCATTGAGCTGAACAGAAGCCAAGTGAAGCAAACTGCACAGTTTTTACTGTCTTGGGGTGTTGCCAGGTCATTTGAATGTACATATTGGATGCTGACGAAAACAAGTATAACCACTGAATGATATAGCACATACTGATCTATGCATTACACTTCTCATGCATTTTTGCACCATTTCTCAACCTTCCATATTTTTCTCCCCTACCACATCCTTTTGGTGATGATTGGTTTCTTTTCTGGGGGCCAACAGTGAAAAGTAGACGTAGCTGATTAAAACAGTGTTGCAGCATGGGATGCCTTTCCAGTGCTACACCAACAGGATACAAAGGGTTATTTCCTCTCTCTGCAGATGGAAGAAAGGCAAAAGATGAAGAATGAAAATCTATTTCATGTTAGAGAGGGACTGCCTTTCTTATCAGCTATAAGCACATGTTTGAGTGGCCACAGACATTGACTTGTCAGGTAAAAGAAGGCACCATCCAAATCTTTCTTTCTCTCTGCCATATATGTTAGGCTTAACAGCGATTAAAATAAAGAGTTTTAGTGTTTAAATAGTTATCGATTGCAATATCTTAAAAGTATCTGCAAAATAAAATAAATGAGAAAACATACCAAACATAGTTTGAAGATGCTGAGGAGATACATTCAAGTGCAAAAGCTTGGTCATAGATTTGTTTCTGATTTCAAAAAGTTTCAGATTCAGTGCCTTGCAAATGTACTCTTACCGTACCAAAAGTTTATTATATTACAACCACAAACTTCAAAGTATTTTGTACGGATTTTATGTGACTGACCATAGTAGCGTATACCTTCAAAGTGCAAGGAAATCTTTTCAAATGAAAACTGTTCAGTTCCCCTTATTCTACCAGGTCAGAAATAAAATTATGAATAAGTTTAAAGCAGTAATAGATTATAAATCATAGGAAGCTCTGTTCTAATCCGTAATCTGAAAGTTGGAATTAATATTGACCGAGAGCATTAATTGGAAAAGCGGCCAAGACATCCATGGAAACTGTTCACAGATTCTCCTGAGAGAGAATATCGTCTTGTTTTTGTTTGAATAGCAAGAGAAAACCTTCTGGAAGAAAATCTGAAATAAATACTGTTTGCAGTTTGCCAGAAGCAAGAGAGCGAACATCTAAAACAAACCTCTGCAACTCCACTCCTCAAGAGCCACTGTTCTGCAACTGTTGGATATATTTCTTTTGATTCACCTGAATCAAAAGGCTGAAGTACATCCTTGGTATGTCAGAAAGTTTCGCAAAAGTTAAAGTCACTAACTGTTCATTTTATTCTGGTTTACAGCAGCACTGATGTTGTGGCACTCAAAGACAGTGCTGTGGTGAGATGAGACTAAGATTTAGCTTTTTGTCCTTTAAGCAAAATGTGAGACTTATCGCCATAAGCATGGTATCCCATGGTGATACATGGTGGTGGCAGTATCATGCTGTGAAGATTTTTTTTTTCCTTAAGCAGGTATTGGGAAGCTGTTGAACAGATCATGTAAAGATGGAGGTAAAACCAAGACAAACCTGGAAGTAAACTTGTGAAAGGCAGCAAAACAAGAAAGATTGCTTCACTTTGCAGCAGGACAAATTTAAACACACAATAAGATTGCTTAGATCAAATCTTATGCATATCTTAGAGTGACCTAGTCAAAGTCCAGTATTCTTCATGAGTAAGAAGAAATATAGAACAATGTCATTTCACTAAGCTTTGTGTTGGAGCTCAGTCTTAAATCTGCATAGAGATCAATAAAGTTTGTGCTTTTAATTTGAAAACAGTTTTAAGGAATGTGAATATTTTTGCAAGACATTGTACAAATTAGAAAAATACCTACCTTAATTTAATTGAGGTGAAGGATCACTTCAGAGATTGTCAGATAATATAAAAGTCACATAAAAAGTGAGGAAAGATCTTAAGTACTTTTAGAAAAGACTCAGCTGTTTGAAAAATCACAAAGTACTCAAAACCAGTGAACCTGGAGCAGATGAAACAGAGACAGCGGAGCATCTCCAGGCAGCAGAGTCTTTCTGCGTTGTGATTTAAAAAAGAACCGATGACCAACAGAGAAATTGAAGGAAGAAAACTTTCTCAAAGAAGTATTCACACATGACAAAATCTGTCTTCAACTTCAAATATTAAAGTAGATCCAGTAGATGGAGTGAGGTTGTTGCAGCTTTTCCAGTCCAGCCACACTCTCATAAATATTACAGCTTTGCAAGACATTTTAAAGATAGTTTCTCATTCTTGATGTTTTATGTTCACTGCTCTTTAGAGGGACACCTACTGATTTTTGATGATGTTTAGCTTGGGGACCCAGCAGCTCTCTAAGAAAAGGTTACCTGCAGCAAAGTCCCCAAAGCAGGATCGATACATGCCTACTACCAGGAGTCAGATGTTTTATGAATACCTACATTCTTTATTCTGCGGGCAAACCTTTGTTTTCCATAATTTAAATCTGAAGCTTTATTCTTACTGCTCATGAAAACTCATTTTGTTTGCTTCAGGAGTCCTCTATACAGTCTGGCTTTGAAATTCTTGTTTCTATGAGATATTTATGTGTTAAAGATATGAAGCCATGCGATGTTTGATGTTCGACTCAACAGAGGAGGATACATTTATAGCTGAACTGTGTTGGTGACAGTGATGTGGGTAATGGGGGAGGAACGGCAGCACAAAGTTGCTGCTGCGTTAATCGACCCCTTCCAGATCCAGATCCAGATTCATGCTCAATGCAAATTTATAGCCACGGGTTCACCCACTGCCACGGTCTATCTTCAACATCTAACGTCCCGCGATGCACTTTGCATTTTTTTTGTCTTTCCTGTGTTTCTCCATCATCTCTCCTTTCACTTAGCATGTACTGAGCAAACACTGTCCTGCTTTCTTTCCTTTGCAGATTTGCTGCTCCTGCTCTTACACTGTGAATAACAGGCATGTCATTAATGTATATATGTAAAGAACTGGAATGTCTTTTAAAGACTGTTCACAATAGGGTGTGGACTGAATTTGAAGCTCTGCGTTTTAGTGCATAGATCTGAATAATTTTCTTTGCTCCCTATAGTTTCAATCAAGAGGAATAGAGAAAATGACTCAGGTAGTTAAATTTTCAGGCCTTGCTTAGTTTTTGTTTTTTTTCTGCATGCCATTATGGCAAAGCCATAGCTGTAAATAAAACAGAGTACTGTTTCAAATCTATTTTTCTACATATAGCTCAAATATCTACACATGGAACAAAGTATCTGCTTCAACTTGTCTGTCATACAGTCACTCTGCAGAAAAATGGAATAAAAGAACCAGAATTTGTCCATCCTGCAAAAGCATAAATACAAGAAAAGAATGAGAGCAAAACATTTCAAAATGTACAGAATTTGTTGCGTTTGTTACTGTTTTTTATTGGAACAAGTTTATATTTTATGTTTCCCCGAAACACAGACTAATGATGAGGTAGAGATGTGTCAAAGCTTACAGCAGCACAACAGCAGTGAACTTACACACCCCTAAAATGTCTTCGCAGTCATATGAATATTCTGCACCAAAGTACATTTTGAATCTAGTGAAGATTTCCCTGGTATAATTTGTCTCCATGGGTTAAAAGGAGTTGAATTTGCTGACACCTTTTCAAAATAATCAATGCAGAATGAATAATATTATATGAACCTTCACCTTTCCTCTGAGAACTAAGATTAAAGTGGCAGAGGTTTCATAACTTCCTTCAACAGCACATCTATGTAATCAGCTGCTGCATGTCCATAACCTTCCTCTCTAAAAGGATGACATTCTTTAGCATTTTGTGCTGTCGGATCATACTTCACAGGACTGAACAAAATACTACTTTGAATTCTTTCTTGAATATCGGCCACTGCTCTGCTGAAGATGTTGCTCAAATTAATATGATCATGTTTTAATCTGTATTTTTCCTGAAACTGAAACACGTCAAGCTTTTTAAGATACAAGCAATGGCGCTCAGATATTTGCATAGACTCATCATGATATGACTATAGCTGTTAAATGATTTTTATTGTCAACAAAAAACACAAAAATGTTCACTTTTGATGAAAATTTACTTTGAACTCATTGTGGATTTTCTATAATATACACACTAAAAAGAATTTAACTAGAAAGAAAAGACACATACCCCAACTAATCAAAAATGTTTTAGCTGTCGTCAACCAGGTCCAGATAGAAATTTGGTTAAATATTTGACCACTTTTTTTCTCAAAAATAGCAGCATTCATTTAAAATGGTTACCTTCATGACATAAAATTGACTTTTAAGCAAAACCCTAAAGATTTTTAATTTGTTTGAAGTTAGGCCAGTTCCAGAAACGTCGAAAAACAACAACCATAGAGGTCCACAAAGAGAATAAAGTTGTTAAAATGCTGGCTACAGTCAGACAACAACTTCAAAATTGCAAGCTATCCTCCACCGTTACCCTCCATGTTTACTTCCACAAACACTGATTACGTGGGACGTTACTGCGCCCTCTACTGCGAAATGCAGGACACTTTCAGCTTGTCTGCAGTTCACATTTTAGAACACAGACAGGTGGCATATATTTACCACGGCAAAAATAAATAAATAAATCAGATTTGATAAAAATCGGAATTGGGTCACTTCAGGCTACAGTGTGATTGTAGCCAAAAACCTCTGGAATGTAACGGTACAAATCACTGCCATTACGTAGCAACCCCAGTGAAGTCCAGTTCGTTTCCTTGCAACCCCAGAAGCTCCAGAACATTTGGTCAGCAGAGAGATCTCATTATCTTAAGATTTTGTGCAAGAAAATGTAATGAGCATGTTTCGTGCTGCCCACAGAC